AAATGTCATAAAAGAATCGCTTGTCCAGAAAGCAGCACAAACGGCCTTATTGGACACGTCAAAAGTTACGAGAAAATAGATTTGAAATCATTCAGTTCCAGACCAGTTTTGACTAAAATGTCATTAAACGATCTTCTTGCCAAGTTGACAGCTCTTGATGGGTATTCGATTAGGTCCATAACTCAATCTGAAACACTAAGAATGCTTTTTGAAAATTACGGGCATAGTTTGCCTAAGTCAGCGTCCGCAATTTCAGAAAAAATTAAGATGTTTCATGCTGAAGCCAAATACTTAATGATCGCTGAATTGGCTGCATTGAAAGCAAAAGGAGAAAAATTTGGACTAACAGGTGACGAATGGTGTAGCAATAGAGGTAGAAAATACTACCATTTAAATGTTCATCACGACAGAACGTATTGTTTAGGAATGATGAGATTGCCATCTCCTAGTTCTGCTGAAACATTAAACATTTTGATAATGGAAAAATTAAAAGAATTTGGTATAGATAGTGAAGATATTGCAGGTAAAACTACGGATGGCTGTAGTTGGATGGTGAAATTGGGTACCATATTTAAGTTTCCACATCAGATCTGCCAGAATCATTCAATTCATTTGAGTGTTTGTGATTTGATATACGCTAAAAAAGATTGTCGCAAAATTGTGAACAAAGAAACTGAATCGATTATTGAAACAGAAACAGAAACTGATGGAGAGTCTGAAGGAGAGTTTCTTATTGAATATTCGGAGAATGAAATTGAGTATGAAGAAAATATCGAAAAAAATCTATAGAAACTTCGAATACTAATTAAGTTTTTGAAATATTCATCGTTTCGATATGAAGTTCTTAAAAGAAAAATACACGAAATATACGGATCTTCGCATGACAAAGGACTGTTGTTCGACAACCGAACAAGATGGAACAGTGTTTTTAAGATGATTAAAATATTTCTGGATTGCTTAGAAGCTGTAAAAAAAAACACTCGAAGAGCTAAACTGCTTAAACATGTTAGCTGACTTATTGGAAGTCGTTGCTGACGCTGCAGTTCGCTTGGAAAAACCAAATACAACAATTTTGGAGTGTGACATTATTATGGAAACGTTAGTAAGGAAATTGAAGGTTGCAGAAACTGACATCAGTTCTAATTTTGCAGAGACCTTAATCTCCAGATATGAAGATCGTAAAAACGTTATGTTGATATCATTGAGTCGTTATTTGCACAATCCCGATTTTTTTAAAAATAAAAACCACACATTTTTTTACGCTTCCAAAAAAGATATTCAAATTTATGCTTCAAAATTATTTGATCAACTATTTGCAACAAAAGAAAATAGTCTCCAATCAAAATCAGATGATCACGCTAAAAACAAACAAGAAGAACCATCACAATCGACATCTTTTTTCTCCGAAATTCAAGAAGTTCTAATTCAAAATCAATCAGCAGCTAAAAAGCCAAAAAAAGTCAAGACCTTCACCGATCAGTTGAAAGAATATGAAGTAACTGGTGTGAAATCAGAAACAGTTTTAAAATTTGAACTAGCCATCCACAGAATTCAAGCAACTTCCTCGGAAGCAGAAAGAGTTTTCTCCTCGTCTTCCAGATTTGTCACAAAGTTTCGTAGTTCGCTTTCTGTTGAAATGATAGATGTTTTGATCTTTTTAAAATATTATTTAAAAAGATCTTCAGTATAAATACTTTTTTTTTCAAATTTTTTTTTTAATTTTTACTATAGGTGCCCCAACAAGTCTTTATTGCATAGCAACGCAGAAGGGCATTTAACTGAAAGTTCACGCCTTCTTCCTAACCGATGCCGGTTAGAAAGCCAATTATTAGATATAACTTGTTCGTTAAAAAATTGTGATAAAAAAAATATTTATGTACTAAGAAATATAAAAATATAAATTTTTTAAAATTTTATTATGAATTATAAATCGAAATATTTAAAATTAAAAAATAAAAATACAAGAACAATGTTTAATTATCAAATAGAGAGTTTAATTTTTTTATCAAATAGATAGTTTAATTTTTATAACAAAATATTATCGAAACTCCGATTTTTTCTCGACTCCGACGGAGTTTTTTCTCGATTTCTCTCGACTCCGTTTTTTCTCGATTTTGGATCCTTTGATTATTTTTTTATATTATCATCCTTTCTCAAAGTCAAGTCGTGATGCTGCTTTTACATTACATTGTTTTTTGTTTCTAAGCAAGTAGTTTTTAACTTTTCCCCTTTTTTTATCTTTTGCGATGAGTTTCTTTTGTTGGTTGATTTGTTTTAGGGTTTTCTTTTTTTCTGACAAACGAATTTCATTTCTGATTGGAGTATCAGTCAAAACCCTTGTTTTTAATTGCCTACTTTTAACACTTCTTTTTCTAGCAGATGCTTTCGGGTAAGGTTTCAAAACTTCAGTTGAGAGTAATGAAGCAATGCTTGGTGACACTTTGTTCGAAAAACTTGTTTCGAACAAAGTGTCACCAAGCTATGTTGTACTATGATGTACTACATGTGCTACAGTCATTTCAGGTTCCACAAGAATTGTGTTTACTATATTTGGAGCAGCACGATCTGTTACTGATGATGGTAAATATTCATCATCTTTAAAAATTTCTGGATTAAATGGCTCAATGCCAGCAACTTGAAATCCTCTCTGTATATTAGATGGTGAGAAAGCTTTTGTATATGGTTCTTGAACTATTGAAACAATATCATAAATGGTCATAGGTCTTGGATTTGTGACCATCCAATTATCACACGCAGCATAATAAAACCTTTTCAATGGTCCAAAAACAGTTCTATCTAATGGTTGCAATTTATAGGTACATTGGGGATGAAAACTTAACATTCTAATTCCATGTTGAGTTGCAAGATCCAAAGCTCTAACAGAAATATGACTTTTATGGCTGTCCAGAAGTAAGAAAACTGGAGATTCATGAGAACAGTTTGAATACCTCACAAAATGTTTTATCCATTTTATAAAAATGTCTGAATTCATCCAACCAGAAGGATTTGCAAATCCCACGCATCCAGGAGGACCTTCCTCTATCATGTAATCATGAAGTTTAACCCTAGGAAAAACAAATAGTGGAGGAATAGAGTTTCTAATTGCATTTAAAGCACAACATACAGTTACTAATGATCCTCGTTCTGGAGATGTGATTCTTCCTAATTGTTTACTTCCTTTACCTGCTAACACTTTTACTGGCTTTTGTACCGTTGTTAAACCAGCTTCATCAACATTATATATGCAATAAGGATCAAACTTATATCGATTTCTTACTGATTTTAGATTTTGCAAAAATTCTCCAACAGTGTGTCGGTTAAAGGCAGTTGATCGAGCAAAGCTAGTTGCTTCAGGTGTTCGTAAAGACAACTCTGGTTGTCTTTTCATAAAACCTTGCAACCAATCAATCCCTGTAATTTTATTCTTGATCCATGATGAAGGGCAAACCTTATTTTTTACAACAAACTCGTATGCCAATAATCGTATTGACTTAGTTGAAAGTCCATAGTTCATTTTTGATGCAAGTAGTAAATAACTTGACAAACTTTTTTCATCTTCTGCAGTAAAAAATTGTTTATTGTTGTAATTAGGCTTAAAAGTTTAATTTAGGTTGAGCTTCTTTTTATTACAATATCTTTTTAAGGTCATTCGATTTATACTAAACTTGCGAGCTACAACATTCACAGGTCTGCCCTCTAAAACTTCATTAACAGCTGATTTCATTATATCACATGATATAGCATCTCTGTCTGTTTTTTTTTTTTTTTTTTTTTTTTTCTATACCTAACCATTTAAAGATCTGAAAATTTAAAAAAAAGTAAAATAAAATGATTGTTTAAATAAAATATTTTATATAATAATATTATGTAAACTAATTGTAAAACTTATGTAAAACTAAAAACTAATGTTTTTAACACTATTAATTTTAAAAATGAAATTTTAAAAGTTTATATAAAGTTTTTTATTCGTCATAAGTTTAAATGTATAAAATTTAAACAAAAAATTTAAGTCTTATAATATAAGTTATATGGGGCACTTTGATCCTCCGATCAATGAGCCCCGCATAGTCAACGATCAATGTGCCCCATTAGGTACAGTTGACATATTGATGCCAATAACTTCTATAAATACAGTAACCAACTCAAAAAAACAAATTTATTATAAATTTAACACATATGAGTTTACAATAAATTGGTTGTAAAGTCATACGGAAATCTAATTAAAAATTTATTTGAATTTGTTTACAACTTTCAAAAATCACTTTTCATGATGAGAAAGTCTTTTCAATTTTCTTAACGCTGAAGTTAATCTTATCAAAAATTATTACGATTAAGCAATAAAGGGTAGTATACTGGTTAATTAAATTGCAATCTCTGTTAAGTTAAGGCAAAAGTAAACGAGTAAAAGCTAAAAGATCATACTGCCCTGGCGATCAATGCGCCCCCATCTCTCCTACTAAACTTTAATGTAGATATATGATTTTACTATTTTCTTAATCAACTTTTTTTTTTAGTTTTTTTTAGTTTTTAATACTTCTAAGAATAAATTAGTTTAAACTTATAATGATATATAAGTTCAAGATAAATATAAACTAATATACAGTTTATATAAATCTAACTAGTTAGATTAATATTATTTTAATGAGGCTGATGTGAAGTCCAATTATCCTATAAGTAAACATTATATCTAATTTCTACAATGTTGAGTACTTAATCTGTTAAACCAATAATACCTCCAAGGTACAACATTTATACCTCCAAGGTACAACACCGGTGGTAAGCTATTTTTTAAAATTAAAAAAAGGGATAAAAAAATGTCTGGATGTTTAATAAAAAATCCTAGTGTAACTAATATTATCAAGTTGAAAAAAAAATATTGTTACAGAACATATTATAAATATTTTTTTATATTTGCAAAAGTTTGAAAATACCTCCGAGGTACTCGGTCCGAGGTACACCACTCTCCCTTATGTAAAAGTTAAATTAAATTTTTGTAAAAGTAAAAAAAAGCTGAAATTTTTTCAATATATAAATAGAAAAACTACATCATTAAAGGATTATAAATCAAACTCCTATTATTGCATCGTCACGTCACGTCACGTCACGTCACGTCACCTTTGAGTAGATTTAATAAATCCATAATTTGATATCATAAGTTCAATAAAAAATTAAAAGTTTATTTGTAAAAAACCGTTAGTTAGTGAATTTAACTTTTTTCAATGGAGGTTTATTATTTTTTTGAAACCAAGGGTGACATATTGAATCTTTTAAAGAAATTCTGTTTTTACTGTTAACTGTTAACATTCTTTTAACTAAATCTTTCCCATCATCACTAATGTTTTTCCAAATGCCATCAGAAAGGTCATATATACCTTTCATAATTTGATAATCAATTGTTTGATTGGCATTTTTTTGAAAAGGTGGTTTTGCACAAAGCATTATATATAAAACACAACCTATTGACCAAATATCCACAGCAGAGGTGTAACCTGAATAAATATTATTAATTAATTCTGGAGCACAGTAATTTATCGTGCCAACAGCAGTGTGCATGTAAGATTGATCTGAAACAAAACGACTAAGGCCAAAGTCAGTTATCTTTAAAATACAGTTATTTAAATCTTTTGATGTCAACAAGATGTTTTCAGGTTTAATGTCTCTGTGAACAATATTATTGTCATGTAAATGTTGTAATGCTTCTAATAGTTTTAAAAAAAGAGACTTGCATTTTAACTGTGGTATTGGACCTTGATCTAATATATAAGCCAAAAGGTCACCACCAGCAACATACTCCATGACAATGATGACAATTTTGTCATTTTCATAAATGTCTTTCACTTCAACAATGCCAGGGTGTTTTATACTATTTATAATAGTCCCCTCATAGGCCAAGTCTTTATTAGATCCACAAGACTTTAAAATTTTAACTGCTACAATTTCTTGTGTTTTTTTATTTGTGGCCTGTTTTACAACCCCATAACCTCCCTCTCCAAGTATGACAAATGAATTAATAATGTATTTTATTGAAAAAGCTTTGGGTAAATTTTCTTTTTCTAACGCGATGTCATAGTAAAAAAATATTCTATTATTTGGTATTGCTAAAGATATGATGTCTCCAGAAGACAAAACTCTTTTTTTTTCTTTCCCAACTAAATCCTTATTAATATACGTTCCACAAAAGCTATGGTCTTCCAAATAAACTATATATCCAATTTCTGAACGACTATCATATTCTTTGTATATATTAAAATGTTTTTTAGAGATGTGTAAAAAATAATCTGTTACAACACCATCGATAAAAATATATGAACACTTTGGGTGACGACCAAAGGAAATTTTTTTATCACCTGTTAATTCAAATGTTGTATAACATGGTTTAAAAGGAAATAAAATTCCCCAGGCAGATGTTTCTTCCTGACTTGTGCATTCTTCAGATGATGTTACAGGTAGAGTTGAGGCTATAGAATATGAAGATGAAAAAGTTGATTTCTCAGAGTGAGAGAGAGGCTCAGAGCTTGAAGACGTACTTTCGTTCAAGTTGACATTAGACATTCTTAATATTTTGTGTATACTAAAAAGATTAACAAAAAATTAAAAAACATATATTAAAAAGTAGAGTTGTTTAGTCTTTAAATATATTTTTTTGTTACATTTCATTCTAATAAAATATTCTATTTAATTAAACCTAAATATATAATATCTGGAAAAAATATACTATATAATACTTCAAGTTTAAATATTCTTTAAACTGTATATAATTCAAATTTACCTCATTTTATTATGCAGAGGGTTGTTATCTAAAGGGATGTTATCTTAAGGGTTGTTATCTAGAAGACTGTTATCTAAAGGGTTGTTATCTAAAGGGTTGTTATCTAGAGGGCTGTTATCTAAAGGGTTATTATCTAGAGGGCTGTTATCTAAAGGGTTGTTATCTAGAGGGCTGTTATCTTAAGGGTTGTTATCAAGAGGGCTGTTATCTCTTTACATTTTTAAGTACTATTACCTGATCATAGCTAATAAAGAACTACCTTCACAAAATCGTTAAAAAAATTAAAATAGAAATAAATAAAAAACATCATTTATATATTTATATTTATTTATATATAACACTTCTCAAATTTTGCATTGAGAGACAAATTTTAATTGAAGCATCTAAGTTTCCATTTCTTTAATAATTAATAATCAATATTTATAATTTTTACAAATATCAAAAATACTAAAAACAAAATAAGAGCGACATCAATTTCTATTAAGTTAGCTATTTAAATATAAAGTTAAATAAATATTATAAAGTTAAATAAATAAAGCTATTTAAATATTATGTAGACACTCTGACATCAAAAATCTAGAAAGAAAGAAAAAAAAATACTATTAAAAGCAATTATTGTTCAAATATCAAATTATTAGTATTTTTTAAGCAGTAAAAGTTGTAAAACTTTATAGCAAAAAAAAAATCACAAATTGAGCATAGGGGAGAAGCACTGGTCAACAAAAAACTTTCATCAGAAATAATTATGAGCTGAATGGATACAATATTTGATGCTGATTTAAATACCTGCATTTTACTGTACTGCATTTTACGGTACTGCATTTTTTTTTATAGTACGTAAAGTTTTTATGATAAAAGCATATATGTAAATATATGCTTTTATCATGAAAACTTTAAAGAAAGAACTACTTTTTCCAAAATTGGACTAGTCTAATGTATTTTTTAGTATTCATTATTTCAGACAGTTATTGTGTCAAGCAACACCAGTAATTGCTACCTGGCATATCTGAGAACAGCTTACTACATTTTTCCAGTGAAGTGTATATCAGAATTCAGATTGTAAGTATCACCCTGACTAATGACCACTATTCTGTCATGTTAAATGGTCACCCTAACCCTGACAAGTTTTTTTCAAATATGTGGTAATTTCAAAACTAAACTACAACAATGATACACTACTACACTAAGCATCAAAAAAATAATAATAATACATAATCTTTACTTTGATTGCCACATAGGTGACCAAGATAAATCATGAGCACCCCATCATATCTGCTCTGCTTTTTCAAACAGATTACATAATTGGATATCTAACAAAAAGATATCTTTAATGCCATTTGCCTTACCTATGATATGGAGAGAGCTGAGAGATCATCATGCAGATTCATATTTGTGTAGTGTCAACATAACAGGGTTTCCTGCAAAGAACAAACACAATATTGTTTATCCAGTCAAGGAATCGGCACATATACCATTGTAAAGACATTAATATAACACATATAACATGTAAAGAACAGAACATATAACATTGTAAAGAACAGTCCATTTCAATTACTCCAGAAGAAAGTATAGATTTCATAGAAGATGTAGAGAGGGATGATGGTGTGACAGCTGGTTTTCCAAGAACCCCTGCAGATCCTGATTGCACATTGAAAGGTAGAAATTTTGAGCCAAAGTTGTTAACCCAATACAAACTAAATGATGTAGTTAGAGACCTATCACTGTTTAAAGAGAAAGCAAAGTTTCTTGCTTAGGACAAGAGGAAACAACTTGAAAAAAATGTTTGTATCAGTTGCTAACAAAAGCAAAACAATAACTCAATAACATACTTTACAGTGGATGGTCCTCTTTTTTGTTGCCATGATATACATGGACTAATTATAGAATTATCTCAGACATATTCAACATCTGATTGGTGTCTCTTTATTAATTAGTTGAAGAGAAGCCTGAAAGCAGTCCTTTTACATAATGGAAATATCAAAGCCATTCATCTCTGTTGCACATTCTGAACATCTCAATTAAACATATGACAATATGGATATACTACTTATGGTAAACAAATACAATAGTCACATGCAGAGATTTTAGGTATGGCAAAGGATATACAAACAGAATTTGTAAAATATTGTGGTCTATATTCTTGCATTTTTAACTAGATTTCTTTCCAAAAATCTTTTTAGAACAGTGAGTGATGACATGTGTCTGATCATTATTGGTTGTTGTATCGTGATATTCCAGACCGAAAAGTTTAAACAAAAATCGTATTTTCAACGATATTTTATAAGCTTGTGATGTGTTTTCTCTCATTTTACAATTCTAAAAGCTCTTCTTCACTTAAATTAGCTGTGTGCAGTTAATTGCATTATAATTTATAATTATATGATGCATTTGTCACTTTTCCCAAGTAAATGGTTTGCATAAAATGTGATTTATTTAACACTCTATTTTCATAATTAAATACACTTTTATAATACACAAAAATGTAAATAGTTTATAACTAAATGTGCTAGAAAAAAATTGTAACCAGATTTGGATACAGAATCAAAAATACATTCAGAAAAGCTTAATTTTGTTTGTTATGAAAAACAAGTTTAATTTTGTTTACCAGTGTTATTATGTTACCACTGTAAAAACCCGCATCCGTGTCCCGCATTGCGTTTAAATTAGTACTGTAGAATATGGCCCAAAAAAAGTGAGACCTAGAAAAAAATTTTTTTAGACATAAATTTTATAGTCTCTATAAAATTTTACTTTTTTTGGCCAAATTCTATATTACTAATTTAAACGCAATGCGGGATATAATATTTTATCGGCTTTCTTAGTTATCATAGCTTCATTATTACAAAAAAAGTAATTTAATTGCCATGTTATTGAATGACTGAGCCAAAAGGAATTAAATATTTTTGAATGCTTAAGTATTCATTTTTATTATTAAAATAGACTTCGAGGAGAGCGTGTTGTTTTAACAGCTGCAAAACTTTTTTTAAATGTCATAGAGAATCATGATCACAATTTCAATGCATATCTTTCCAAAGAGGACATCCTAAAAATTAAAGAAACCAATGTACCTCAATTATTAAAAACATTTATTAATCAACTAGTTTTAGTTAAGCACTTTTAAAACAGGTTTCAATATCACAAGCTTTACTTTGTGCAACACGTCCTAGGTTTATTATGCCATTGCTGTTTGGACTTAGCGTTTCTGTCCATAACCGTCTTTCATCAAAATGGCTGAACATATTGCTCTCGAAATTGGGATTTGGTGTTAGTTATGACGAGTTAAGTTTCATTTCATTAAACTGCTAGTATGTATAGTATTTATTTGTATAATAAAAAATATGCATATTATTTATTTTTATCAGAATCCTTAGAATCCAAACAACACCAATGTTTATGTAATTTTTTTATGGTTATCCGTTACAGACAGAATGTCGTAGGATACATGCATGATACTATCGACGTGATTATCTCAGGAGAAGGAACCTCGTTTCTTCAATTTGTAGCTGACAACACAGATCATGATATTGCTACTATTGAAGGAAAAAATACGCACCATGGACATGGGTTAATGGCAATTGCAAATGGAAAATTCACAGACGTTTCATTCAAAAGAAATAAAATTCCAAGAGATAAAAAGGAACTATGGTCAAATATCAAGTCAAATGATGGGATAACGATTAGACAGTACTACAAACCTGACAAAGCTTCATTAAAAAAAATAATATTCAAACTAGTCATTCAGGTTAGTTATGCATATTACAAGTAAAAAAATATTTACCTCTACAAAGTTTGAAAACTAATTGTTTTATTTAATTTTAGGAAAAAATTCAAGCTCGTTTTATTGATCTTCTATGGAACATTGGCTACCTTGTCAAAAATCGATGCCTCATTGGCTACCTTTTCAAAAATCAATTTGGTCTGGCTACATGAGTTCTGCAATAAATAATATTGTAAAACAGAAATCTAACATTGTTATGCTACCTTTGATTGATTTACACGTTACTGAATTGACAGCACTATATTCACTACTTTGCTTATCATTGATCAATCCAAATAAAGTCAGTTGCTAAACTGGTTTACAGAGAAAAAAGATTATCTTTCATTAAACTCACGAATATGTATGTAACTGTTTTCCAAGAGTTTATTAGAGCAGAGAAACAAGTAACTGGTCATTACATATTTTTGCAACAATGTGCATGCTCAATGCTGCAACATGGCACACTAACCAGGGGTGGCGAAACAGTGGGGGCTTTATGAGCTTCAGCCTTATTTTAAATTGCAGCTTCAAGCTGCTAGAGGTCAATTAGTATTTTGTATTTGAAATACTAATCTAAAGTATTTGTTTGGAATCACGCTTTACAAACTTCTAAAGGGCAATTAGCGTTTTGTATTTGAAATAATAACTTTATGTGTTTGCTTCGAACAATGTTTTACAATCCACAAGGGAGCAATTAACGGTAGTAAATATTATATAAATCTATACATAAGCACATTTTACATAATTCGCAATTCATAATCTTACGACTAGTATTTCCTTACAATGCATCGAATACTCATAGACACTCCTGTTCGAAATGAAATTAATAAGTTTCAGGAAATGAAAAAAATATCTCAGTCTAAAACAACATGAAATGCAAAATAAGATCTTCATGACAAGAACAAGATAAGTTAATCTTGAAAGTGATGAAAAAAAAAGTATTTTAGGCAGCAGTAACAGTGACAATACATTAAAATCACAGCACTTTAAAGAGCAGTGGCGGATCCAGGGGGTGACTAGGGGCTAGCCATCCACCTTCTTTCTTATCATTAAAAATTTTAGGTTGACCTTTTTAAGTTAAGCGTAAAAAATACCTATTTATATTTGATTTTGTTGACTATTTAATTAAAAAGTTTTTATAAATTACTCCATAATTTTAACAATCAATTAGAAATTGTAAAAACATGTTTTAAACTTAAATGTTGAAAGATACTTGTATAACATTGTTTAATCCATTAATTATAGGTGATTACAAAATTTCTAATAGTAGCACTTACCGTTTATGGAAATACTTTTTTTGGACATGTTTTATTTTGTTTATTTTTTTCTCAAAGTCTTGAAAATTATACTAGCTAATATAATTCTCAAGACTTTATTTATTTTTTTTTAATTTTACGTATTACAACTATATATTGCCAAAAAAATAAAAATAATGATAATAATAATAAACTTTCACAAATATAAAATAAGGTATCTGAAAGAAGATCCAAGGATCTTGTCTTTCAAACAAGCATTAACAGTATCAAATTTTTACAAATTTCATATATATATATATATATATATATATATATATATATATATATATATATATATATATATATATATATATATATATATATATATATATATATATATAATCCAAATATATATTATATAATCCAAAGAGAGATCACGCGGATCTACTCACCAATATTTTATATAAACGTATACTTTAAGTAAAGAATATAAAATCAACAAAATAAGTAAGAATAAACTTTTTACAAATATAAATAAGAAAAGGCAAAGTTGTTAATTTATATTATTAATAATAACATAATACGTCTTCTAATGAAAAAATTAGGGTTTTTAATTTACTTTTAAAAAAACGAAAAGTAATGGGTAGTTCGAAATCAAAATTGGGCAAAACAATTTTATTCCAAAGGTGTGGTGCCGGATAGGCAATACAAAATTGATTAAAGTTCGTTTGGCAGAAAGGTTCATTTAAAAAATCAGTATTTCTCAAATTGTATTTGTTGATGGGTTTCGGAGTAAAAATATCTTTGAAGACAGATTGAGACAAGTCATTTTTTCACATGTATACAAAGCATCAAGCATTATATATATTTAGCTCGTATATATTTAAAATTCTCATTTCAATAAATAATGTTTTGCGTGAGAAAAGCGATTTGCAAAGCAGGTTAAACGGATAGCATGTTTCTGACGGCGATAAAGACGTTGCAACTTACTTTTTTCTGTACTACACCAGGCGATATTAGCATAATTTAAATAACTGTGTATAAATGAATAATAAAGTTTAATTAAAATTTTCTTATTGAGGTAGATTCGTGCTTTATATAAAACTCCTATGTTTTTTGAAATTTTAGTGCTTATGTAGTCGATATGATGATTCCAAGTGATGTTTTCATCAAGATAAACACCTAAAAATTTTGTTACGGAACCCTTTTTATTACATTTTGATCAATAAAAATTTTAGGTAAGCTTAATGGCAAATACCATTTTTTGGAAAACGAATGGAATAAGGTCCACTTTGTTTTATTAGAATTTAGAGTTAACTTATTACATTTAAACCAACTCGATATATGTATAAGCTCTTTGTTCATTGTTTTAAAAAGTTCAAAGATATCACTGTTAGAAAGGAATAAGTTCATCTGCAAACATAATACTTGTTAGTCTAGAGGCTTTATTTAAATCATTAATATTATTTAGGAAAAGGAGTGGACCAAGAATTGAGCCTTGTGGGACTCCACATGTTATAGAAAGACAATTGGAATGATAACCGTCATTACTCGGAACAAATTGTTTACGATTTGACAAATAGCTTTCAAACCATTTTAAAACTTTATTTTTTATTCCATAGTGTTTAAGTTTATAGATTAGAATTTGGTGATCAACCGTATCAAAAGCTTTTGATAGATCAATAAAAAGTCCTAGAGTATATTGTGATTTTTCAAATGATTTTGAGATTTCACGTACAAATTGGATAATTGCATGTTCAGTTGAGCTATCCTTTTTAAAACCGAATTGATTAATGTAAAGTAATTTATTAACATGAAAATATCTGTATACTCTGTTATATATAATTCTTTCTAAAATTTTTGAAAATGTGGAAAGAACAGAAATAGGGCGATAGTTACTAATAATTGATTTGTCCCCTTCTTTGAAAATAGGAATAATTTTGGCAATTTTTAACAGTTCGGGGAAAACACCTTGATGGATAGAAGCTTTAAAAACTTTAACAGGAACAACTTTTAGCTGTTCAAAACAATCTATAATAACGTTTCCATTTATTTGATCTGCCCCAATTGCTTTTTTTTTTTTTTTTTTTTTAACGATTTGAAGGCTCTTTCAAACTCTTCAAACAATAATTCAGAAAACAACTCAACTGAACCAATGCAATTATCAATGGGTACTAGAAAATCAGTAAATAAAGATTTGGTCTTAGGAATTTCTTTAGAAAGTGTTAGACCTATATCGATAAAAAATTTCATATTTGAAAAAAGGAGTTTCACAATTGCTCAAGGTAAGACAAAAAGTATTTCTTTTCAATCAAAATGGTTTGATAATTTCAAATGGCTGAGATACAGTAATCGAAATAGTTACAAAGGTGCATTGCCAGTGTATTATTCTTGAGAGTATCTGAAAAAGAGAAGTTGGGTGTTTTTGTTATATAACCATTTTTAAACTAGAACAAGTCTAAGGAGCTTCAAAGTAGCCACGAATCAAAGGCATACCACCAAATGAGTATGAAACGGTTATCAATTTCCAAGGCACACTTAGTAAATCCAGCATTGAGTATCGGCTATTAATTCAATGACTGCTGAAAATATGAAAAATAGTCGAATGGTGCTACCAACAATTATTGAAGCCGTTTTTTGATTATAGCGATGAGACAAACTCGCATGGTCGAGAAATCACCTCGGTCTGTATTTGTCTTCTTGACACAAA